ATAATCCAAATCCCAGAAGACCTCCAACTAAATTAAAAAAAAAAAACACTCAAATGCCATGAAATACTGACAATTTCGTTTATATATATTTCATACCAAAATATCCATTTTTGTTAGTTTGATAATAAATGTATTTACAACGTAGCTTTTTATTCGTTTTTGTATTTAAAAAAAATTAAAAAAATTTGAATTTGAATTTTTTTATTTTTATTTTTTAAAATTAATATTTTTAGTATTTTTAAATAATTTTGATACATTAATTTTAAAAATTATTTTAACATATTTTAAAGTGAAAAACAATTATAACCACTATACAGGTAATTTTCTAGATGACTTCAAGGAAATTCCCATTACAGTGGTCTCGGATTTAAATCCAATTTTTCTTTAAAAAAAAAACCTTCTTGACCAATGGAATACCCTATTTGAATTACTGAAATAGTACACTCGACACTGTTATTATATACGTCCATGTGACAAAAATGGTTATATATGATATATCTAGTCCCAGGCTATAATTGTTTTTTCTTTTCTTTTATTGCACCTAGCTAGAGCATTTGTTTGTTGGTCATTAACATGTTGTTGGCCGGCGGGCCACAATTAGGTTTGAAAAGTAAATCATGTTTGTTTCTGTTTTCAACAAATATTTTAAAAAATAATTTATTTTTAAATTTATTTTTAATTTTCAAATTATCTTTATATAATAATGCTAAAAATAAATTTTAAAAATAATATAATATTATTTTAATATATTTCACAATAAAAAATATTTTGAAAAATAACTCTCAATTTTTTTCTGTGCTGGCTGTCAAAGAACCATCTCAACCCAATAACTTAAATTGTTAAGTGAAGTTTCAAGATATGATTTATATTATTTTCTAATATATATACAAGTCTACATTACTATATGTTTAATTTTTATAAAATAAATAGGAATGATAAAATTTAAATTTAAGACTATTTGATTATCAATGCTCTAATATCGTATCAAATAACCATTTTAATCTAATAACTTAAGTTATTAGATTAAAGTTTTAAAATATAATTTATATTATTCTCTAAGCCATCAACGATGCACATCTACACTAGTGAACTTAGCTCCGTAAAATGTATATTTAGAGCAAGGGTGTGATAAATAGAAAGCTTTTTTTTAAAAAAAATTATCCTTGTTTTATTTTCTCTAAAAAGAGTGCTAAATAAAAATGTTAAAATATTTTTTTCTGTAAATATTATTTCTACATGTTTTTAAAAAAAGTCAAAATCAATAAAATAGAGTTAATAAAAAAATTAACTAATTAAATATAATCATATAAAAAAATTACATCAAACTCATTAAAAAAATTAAAATACTTATTTTTCTTGCTTAAATACAATTATTTTTTCAAATAGCTTTTTCTTCACTATAATATAAATTATTTTTTCAAATAGCTTTTTCTTCACTGGACTATACATAATTTTTTTATTATATTTATACTATTTTATTAATTTAATTCTTCAAAATGGCACTTCCCGTCATGTCCTTGCCCTCTTACTATTGCAATATAAAACCACATATGTGATTTGTATTTTTAAATCTTGAACAATTCTAATGTCAATTATTATTATATTAATAGCTTAGAAATAATTCCGTCAGAGACATATATAGCTATTAATTTAAAAATTTATAAAAATTAATTAAAATATATGTAATTTAATTTAAATATCCACATCAATAAAAAATAACAACAATAATAATAATTTAGAAATAAATTACCATGCATAAAAATTATAATTGATGAAATTTATAATATATATATATATATATATATATATATATTTATTTATAATAAACATGACGACTAAATTACAAATAAGAAATATATATTTTTAATTAAAATTATATTTTTTTAATCCATGTGATTTTCTTTATTTTGACAATAAAATGATCTTTTTATTAGCAGCAGCATGATTCATTAAAAATAACAATTAAAAAAATAATTTGGGAAAAAATAGGGTGATTTAAACTAAAACGGGAAAATATATATTAAATAAGACACACACATATTTTTATCTTCGTGAAAACATGCTTTTTAAAGAAAAGTATTATTGTTTAAGAAAATCTTGCTGTGATTGTCAAAGTATGTTTTAACTAGAAAAATTAAAAAAAAGTGATCGGTCATTTTTTCTCGTGTGTATAAAAAATATGTGAGAATAAATTTTTTGAATTGTTTTTAAAAATTACAATAAAAAATAGATTATTAATCAATATTAACAGGTAAAATATTTAAAAAACTAAGTATACAAATACCATCAAAGGACGTTTGTAGCCTCCCTTGATTTTTTTATGGTTAACGGTGGGGGAAAACAATATTGTCAACCTTTTTATTTTTAAAAAATAAAAAAATGATTTATTATATATTTTTTTTAGTTTTTAGCCATAAAAAAGTGGTTAAAAAGTCAACAAAAAGTTGAGTTAATGTTTTTTATTTTAATTTTTTTATTTAAAAATATTTAATAAACACGTTAAAAAGTTTAATAAACCAATTTGTAATCAGAAACGTTATTAAAACGATTAAAAATACAAAACTAAATTAATATTTTTAAAATTAATATCAATTTTTTTAGTAAGATAAAAACTTAAAAATATCTCAATGACATTATTACTATAAAAAAACACATTAATATTAAAATTTGGATTTATTTTTTACTAGAAAATATTCAGCTAACTATTTTTCCTCTCATCTCTCGTACCCGCTAATTTTCTCTTTCATCTCAAATTCTAAATATCATAATATAAAATAAATAAAATTTAGGATTGAAAAATTAAAACCTCAAAATACAAACATCAAAAAATAAAACGTAGAATATCAAAGTGAATTTTTATGCAGCCAATAAACAGTAAATATAAGAGTTGACCTTTTGTTTTCAGGCCTGTTTGACATTGTTATAGAACTGTTATTTTGTTATTTTTTATAAATAAATTTAGCTTAAAATTAATTTTTTATGTTTTTATATATTTTTAATATATCAATAGAAAAAATAAAAAGATATTATTTTTAAATATAATATATTTTAAAACACAGCTTGCATCGCAATGTTGCATTTCTTTTCAAAGTTGGCCCCACGAGCGAACATGCATTTCGTTTTAAAGGTGGCCCGGGTCTCGCATGTCGCCCTCCCGTGGCTTGAAAATTACCATACCTACCTGTTTATTGCCTCGATAATGTCAACAAGATTATATATCTAATTATAGCGTGAGAGCTCCATACGTGGGCCCCCACCACACACAGCCGAAGCCAAAAAAATCTATGGTATCCAAAGACCGCACAGCAAGGCATTTTTTGCTCCTTTTCAGGAAAACTGCTCATAACTTCACGGGGGGCGCCTGTTGATTCTCTCGTCTTCTCGGAGTTTGAACTCGCGAAACAACACACCTCTGATATTTTCTACCCTTTTGATCTGCCTGTCCCCTCCAGCCCATGGTCTCCCCGTTAGTTATTCCACGGCACACAGTAAACTCCTAAGACTTGGAAATTATACACATTAAATACGTGACTAAACTTTGTAATTTAAAATAGTTAAAATCCAGATTTACAACTAGCCAGGGAAACTTTGTAATTTTTTTATATTTTTAAAATAAATTTTAAAATTTTAAAATAATTTACGAATACTCAGACTCTAATTTTTTTTATAACCTGCTTTCAAGTGAAATGTTTCTTTAATTTTTTCATGGAAGGTAATTATGTAATGCTTCTCAATCTTTTTATATATAATATTTTTTATTTTTATATAAAATAATTGAATATTTATTTACATGAAATATTTCTTAATTTTTCTGCAAAATCTATTTATACAGCCACGTTCACAATTTCAGTCTTTTCTAGCTACTCCTTGGACCGCCTGCAAATCTCATTTAGCAACTAGCCGATGCATAGGAGAATGTTTGGTATGTTACATAAAAATGGACCGGATATAATATATATATTTTTATAAAATTATTTAAAGTGCTCATATATAGCATAAAAATTATTTTTTATTCCATCCAAATACAGGAAGGAAGTTTTTTAAAATTATCCTAGTATATGTTCTGGTCACGTCATGTTGCATGCAATGTATTTAAACATTCATATAGCCATAAATGCACATAATATAATTATTATATTAAAGACAGTGTTTATGTAAATTAATTATCTCAAGACTAGCTATTGTTAAAATAAAACAAAGATGATAGCAGCTTCTAAAATTATAAAATTTCTTAAAATGTAGCAGTCACCACAATTAAGGTACAAGATATAATGATCAAGGCAAAAGATATTTAGAGGTATTAGAGTTATGGTTGGATTATTTTTCTTCAAAAATAATTTTTATTATATTTTTATATAAAATAATTTATTATTTTTAATCATATTTGGTTTCATAAAACAATTGTCCAGTCTCATTCTATATATCCTGCATAATTTCATATATTACTTACACACATTCCTACTAAGGATATTTACCCTCCCTTCATGTAGTTTTTTATTTTATTTTATTTGTTTTTAAATACAAGATCAAGACACCATTAAAGATAGAAAATACTTCTAGGTATAGTTTAGAAATATAATACAAATCATGTTTTATATAATTTTATATATTTTTTTAAAAATTAATTATTTTACATGTTTCAAAATTATTTTGATATATTATTTTAAAAATATTTTTTTGAAAATAAAAAATTATTTTAATATATTTAAATATAAAAAATACTTTAAAAAATAACCACAACAATACTTTTAAATATACATTTAACTGTGAAGACAGGGACAAGAATAAGTTCCTATCTCTATTTCTAAAATAATTTTTATTTTTTAAAATAAAATTCTTTTTAAACATTTCATAATATATATGTATGTATGTATATGTATAAGTAAACTTTTAAATATAAAATAAAATTCTTTTTAAACATTTCATGATATATATGTATGTATGTATATGTATAAGTATATGCATATGTACGTGTCTGATCGCATAGAATTCTGGTTTTGTGTTAGGTTTCTAGAAACTTCAACACTTCATTTTCTTTCCTCTAATAGAAAATTTATTATCCAAGTAAAAAAAAAAAAACCTAAAATTATCTCCCAGATTCACCCTTGTCTGCACTAGATAATTCAATGAGCGCTTGAATTTTTTTTGTTTCTTATTAAAAAAAGGTTGAATATAAAACAAATGGATTTTGTTTTTGATTTGATTGATCACTGAAACTGAAACCTGAAGGAAACGCGTGTTTGTGAGGGTCTTGTTTGTAATATTTTCGTTCTTGTATGCCCATTAAATAAAAATAAATTCCCGTTGAAAACAAAACGCGTGTTTTGCTCTGATGCTTTAGGATCTAGGGTTAGGGTTAGATCTGTAACAGATCAGATTGTGAATTCCTGTTTCTTCCTTTTGAATTTAGGGTTACAAATTTAATTTTTGTTTTATTTTAATGATTTTGACTTTTTGTTTGGAAATTCGGGTGTAGTCGGAGAACTTGTGTGTGTGTGAAGTTTCCAGCTGCTTTGACTGAATTGGGAATTACAGATTCTGGATCAAGATCATGTAAGCTCTAATTTGATTTTTTTTACTAATTATTTATAAATATCTTGCTTGAATTCTATAATTTTTCTATGAATTGAATATCTCAGGAGTTTATTTTTAGTATTTTTTTGTGTTTGGCTATTCAGTTTGATTTTATTAATGATTTTATGGATTAAGTATTACAGATTTTCTTATAGAAAATTGTGATTTAGGATTTTTTTCAGTACCATAAATTTGATCCTGTGTACACATTTTGTTTTAATTATAAAATTAAGTTAATAATTTTTTTGAAGTAGAATTGTGGAATTGAGGAGGGGAAGTTGAGGCTTCCGTGTTTAAGATAGTTCATACATTAGTCTGGATATGTGATGCTTGATAAATATAAATTTGCTCATGTCAAGTGGTTATGATCCTTTGAGAATGTGAGTTGGTTCTTGAACGGCAAGGAGTGATAACATAATCTGCGCCTTGTTTTCTGATAAGAAACTATAAATGAATCTGTTACAGGCTAAAGTAATTTTCTGGAAGCCCAGGAAAATTTAATGCAATGAAATGAGGCTATTGTCGAATTGGACTTTCAGTTGTTGGCTGTTAGTAACATGCTTTGTAATTAATCTGTTGATTATTTTTGTTTACAGTCGTAATGGGAACTGAACTCATGAGAGTTCATGTTAAGGAGGAGAATGATGATATCCCATCAGTTCCACCTGGTTTTGAGTCATTTGCAGCTTTCAACTTGAACAGGGTGCAAGATGGTGAAAAACAAGAAAGTAATGTAACCAGTTGTTCAGCCACTACAAGCGCTTCTGAATCACAGTCAGTCAAGATGGACACAGAGTTTGAGGATGAAGCAAAAGTTACAAGGTCCCTTCGGCGCAGGCCCTGGATAAAGTTTGAACATTTGGATAGCTGTTCAGAGGACGAGTCTGATTCTGTGAAGCTTAATCAAGTTAGTTTTTAGTATCATTTTCATCATTATCTCTTTGAAAATGATGAGCAACGTCATGCATATCTAGCATTTGAATTTCTATTTTCCCTTGCAAGTCCTTTATGTCTACTCTGGATGCCTTACATCCCATTTCCTTATAGCAGAATCTCTCCTTGAGGTCTCACCTTCCCAAGGGAGTGATCCGTGGATGTCCACAATGCAGTAATTGCCAAAAGGTTATTTTATTTTCTTCTCCTTTTTTTTTTCTTGCCTACTTGGCTTAGCCTTTCATGCAGTCTGGTTTAATTAGCTTGATTCCCCTGTAGCAATTTCTGTTTTATTGTCTGGACAACCATCATTATGTGGCATCCACAATAAATTTCTAATGGTTGGCACTGCCCCTATATATTTGGCTGCACTACTAAAGGGTGGATTCTTACTGTAATGTAGCTTCCTGTGGTTGCTAGTTGCAAGGGTCCTAGAGGATCGGAACTGTGTCTGATCTGATGTTGTGTTTTGATATACTCCATGTCTTTTATCATCTGTACCAATGTTACTTGGTTGGTAATTGAATATCTGGTACAGGTCAGTGCAAGATGGCATCCAGAAAGTGCTTGTAAGCTTGATATTGAGGATGCTCCTGTATTCTACCCAACTGAAGAGGTCTACATCATTTCTTGTTATATTTTGCTTGTTGTAATTTCAAAAAAGACATTCTTCATATTCTGGTTGTGATGTGCAAATCTGTGATTTACTTATGTTCAATTATAAGGATCTGTGAATGTGTATGCTATTGCTTTTCCAGGAGTTTGAAGATACTTTGAAATATATTGCTAGCATACGGCCTAAAGCTGAACAATATGGAATCTGTCGCATTGTTCCTCCTCCTTCTTGGAAACCTCCCTGTCCCCTTAAGGAAAAAACTATTTGGGAGGGCTCTACGTTTGCAACTCGTGTCCAGAGGGTTGACAAACTGCAGAACCGGGACTCTATGAGAAAGATGTCAACAATGTCTAATCATACAAGGAAGAAAAGGAGAAGATGCATGAGAATGGCAGTAGATTGTGGTACAGATATTGGAAGCATCTCAGCGTCAAATGATGCTGGTGTTTGTGAAGCTGAGAGATTTGGGTTTGAACCTGGTCCGCTGTTTACTTTGGATACATTTCAGAAATATGCTGACGATTTCAAGGCCCAGTACTTCAGGAAGAATGAGAATACTAATAATAAGGGAGGCGATATTACAACATTTCAGAAGACTTGTGAACCAACATTGGATGATATTGAGGGTGAATATTGGCGAATTGTAGAGAAAGCAACTGAAGAAATTGAGGTGTGTTTTGCGAGTGGATATGAGCTATTTGAATGTTCATCTTCTTTTGTTGATTAATTCACTTATTTGTGTTGTTGTTCTGTATGGTGTCATTTGTCTCCCTTGTTTGCATGCAATGTGAGTCGCAGTTCCTTATATTTGCTTTGTCTTTTGCAGGTCCTTTATGGGGCTGATCTGGAAACTGGGGTTTTTGGCAGTGGGTTTCCAAAAACATCTAATGAAGTTAGTTCTGCAACAAATGATCGTTATACAAAATCAGGCTGGAACTTGAATAACTTTCCGAGGCTTCCTGGATCTGTTCTTTCCTTTGAAAGTGGCGATATATCTGGTGTTTTGGTGCCATGGCTGTATATAGGGATGTGCTTCTCCTCCTTCTGTTGGGTAAGACCTTATGTCTACTGTTTTATAGATTTTACAAAAAGCCTAGCTTCAGTCCAAAATAAATAATCATAGGTAAACAAATATATTGTTCTATTATGTTTCTTGATGAGTGTGTATGGAGTGTACTTTTTATTGGTAGCTTGTATATAACTGAGCCTTGACGTCTCCATCTCCAAAGATGGATAATCAGTTCAGTTTTAGGCTTTACAACTTTCATTTTTGCAATTTTTATAATAACAGCTCTTATTTGTCTTATGAACAGGCTTTGGCATAGTTTATGCATTTGTTTTAGAGCCTGATTACTTATTTTTGTCTTGTCTTTTTCTTTCACATGGTTGAGAACAGCATGTTGAAGATCATCACCTATATTCACTGAATTACATGCATTGGGGTGCACAAAAGATGTGGTATGGTGTGCCAGGGAAGGATGCCATTAAATTGGAAGAGACCATGAGAAAGCATTTGCCTGATCTTTTTGAAGAACAACCCGACTTGCTTCATAAGCTGGTGAGTCAAAGTTCTTGCACTGTGCTACCATGTTAGATGCTCTCATAAAATTATGCTCTTTTAGCTGTTGTTTGGACACCATTTGTCGAGGAACCAAAAATCAAAAAGCCAATCATGGTCTTTGTTCACATTGTTGTCTTATGGAATCCTTCACCTGGATTCATAAACTTGGATTACAGTGGCTAACCCAAGTTCTCTGAATCTTTCAAGGATTCTGTGCATATTCCTTTTTTGGTCTCTTCTTTTATCTGCTAAACGTGTAATAACCTTTGTCACCAGTCTGCAATAATTTGCTCCCAAAAGTGGAGGTCTTCTGGAGAAATGAACTAAGAAAAAAAATTCAGCTGAGTATTCTTTATGGTGAGATTTATAAATCTCAAATGATATGGAACTCAGGCAGGAAACTTCAATTGCAAAAGTGCTCTATTCCATGGAATGCCAGATGCCTTATGTTTTTGTTCCTGAAATTCTGCGATCATTGGCACTTTGTTCCTGGCTTTCAGTTGTTTCAGTTACAGAGGCTTCATTTTTAGATGACCTAGGATAGCATGGATAGAATTGATTATTAACAGATGGTAGCTTTTCTCCTATTTTATAATGACAAACATGCCTTGAACTTGTTTTTCCCTTGCAGGTGACCCAGCTTTCCCCCAAAATACTAAGACCTGAAGGAGTGCCTGTCTATCGGTGTGTTCAGAATTCCGGAGAGTTTGTGCTAACCTTTCCTCGAGCATATCATTCAGGGTTTAATTGCGGTTTCAATTGTGCGGAGGCAGTGAATGTAGCTCCTGTTGACTGGTTGCCCCATGGACAGACTGCTATAGAGCTGTACTGTGAGCAGAGACGGAGGACTTCCATTTCCCATGATAAACTGTTGCTTGGGGCAGCAAGGGAAGCAGTGAGAGCACATTGGGAACTGAATTTACTTAAGAGGAATACCTTGGATAACTTAAGATGGAAAGACGTGTGTGGAAAAAATGGTATATTAGCAAAAGCATTCAAGGTAAAACTTTAGTTTGTCTCTTTGAGACTATCCAGCTGATTTTCATACTGGAATTCTACAGTTTGAAATATATTTTGTCACAATGTCAGTTGTTTCAAGTCAAATTGATGGCTGTTTGAAATTTAGACTGGCTTGCCTGGGTTCAAGGTAGTAATTCAAACATGCCACTAGAAAAAAATTGGAGTTGTAGGATGCGGTCATTAAATTGGTATTGGCACATGTAGATTGTGATGCCTGTTCTGAGCTACAAGATGCCATCTCAACTCTATTTTTTGGTAAAACTTTTATGCAACGTTGCTGTGTACTGTTCACAGAACAGACAGTCTGATTTTGATTTCCATTATTATAATGAACTGGGAAGTTATTACTTGGTTTACTTTTCAGTTTTCACTAAATTTTTTTTATTTTTGTCTTGTGTGTGTTGTGTGTGCTGCAGGTATCTTGTCATTGACTTGTTAATATGTTTTTTTTCAAGAGATCCTAGGTGTTAAGTTTGAAACTTGAAAGTGTGTCATTATGTTAGCAATAAAAGTTCTCACTGGAAAACTTTGGTGCTATTCCTTTTCCCTATTGACTTTGGATGTTCTTGGTTCAGGAACGTGTGGAGACAGAGCGTGTGAGGAGACAATTTCTCTGCAACTCTTCCCCAACTTTGAAGATGGAGAGTGATTTTGATGCCACAAGCGAGAGGGAATGCAGTATCTGCCTTTTTGATTTGCATCTGTCTGCAGCAGGGTGTCATTGCTCTCCAGATAAGTTTGCATGCTTGACTCATGCAAAGCAGTTGTGCTCATGTGCTTGGGGTGCCAAATTTTTCCTGTTTCGCTATGATATCAGTGAATTAAATATCCTCCTGGAGGCATTGGAAGGAAAATTGAGTGCAGTATACCGATGGGCAAGACTAGATCTTGGACTCGCCCTGACGAGTTTCATTTCCAAAGACAACACGCAAGATGTTAAATTTTCTTATTCTCCAATAAGAGCAGCAACTGAACCGGTGAGATCACACACACCAGCAGATCCTTGTAGAGATTTACCAGGGAGAGCAATTTCTAGTGATATTAGAATGAATTCATCCGGAATCTGTAGTCAGATAGCCTTGGAAGAAGAGAAGAAACCACCTGAAGGCACTCCTTCAAAAGATGTGAGGGCATCATCTGTATCTCATAGTTCTTTTCAAGTAATTGAGAGGGACAATGACAATTTGAAGCTAAACCAAAAAGGTTCTAGTCTTTTGTCTACCAATTTAAGAACACTAGTTTGCCTGTTGTCTCAAGAAGACACATCTTATGCTGCAGGCCTGGCTTCAGAGAAATGTGAAGGGAAGAAGCCTTCAACTTTGGATAATGACAATGTTATTCTTCTTAGTGATGATGAAGGTGATGAACAGGAGCCAATTTTAGAAAGGGCAAAAGAAAATGTTTCCGGGAAGCTATCAATTTTGCATTATAGTTCATGTAATGACAATAAAGATTCAATCTTAACTGTTCCTGTGGTTGATGGAGCAGTTAAGAGTGAAAAGAATGTCAGTTCATTACCTGATGAACAAAAAAACAATTCATCATCTGGTCCTGTGGTGCAAGTGAAGGATGGCTATCATCAAGATGGTGGAAAGGTCTTGGAATTTAATCAAAAGAATGTTTCTTGCCACACTGGTCCTAGCACTGCAGGATTTGGTAGGAATGTTCAGAATTCTTCAACTAATAGAGATACCAGTAAGGATAATGGGATGGCAGATGTTGGGAGTCAGCATCCACAGCCATGTGGCTTTGGAAAGCTTAACAATGCGGACAAGATGGGAGGAAATGCCACCTCAACTTCATTGGACAACTCAAGAATTATGGCAGGTAGCCCATCTTCCTCGCAAAATAACTTGGACAGACACTACCGCCAGAAGGGTCCCCGCATTGCAAAGGTAGTGCGAAGGATCAATTGCAATGTTGAACCTCTGGAATTTGGGGTTGTGCTTTCTGGAAAGTCATGGTGCAACAGCCAAGCAATTTTTCCCAAAGGTATCTTGCATATGTGTTTTATACAAAGATCATAAATTTAAAGAATAGTCATTCTAAGGAATAGGAAGAGACCAGTATTTATGCATATTTGTTCTATTTGATGCAGGATTTAGAAGTCGAGTTAGGTACATAAGTGTTCTAGATCCAGCAAATATGTGTTACTATGTCTCCGAAATACTGGATGCAGGGCGAAATGGTCCTCTATTTATGGTAATATCAAATTTTCCTTTGGTCAGGATTTAATGTCCTTATCATCCATCATTTTGATTGTCGCAAAATATACTACTTATTTATTTGTTTGAATATCCTGAGAGGTCATCATTACCTTTTTTTCTTTTGATCCTTATTGGAATTCTAAGCAACAAAAGAAATTTGGAATGAATTTTAAGATTGTTGCTTAGTACTTGTCAGATGCATCTGATGGCTGCTCTTGTTCTCCAGTACACTAAATTTAACTGGTCATTGTTATGTAATTTTAACAGTGTTTGAAATCTGACATATAATCCCCTGGTGTATAGCAAGCATTAGCAGGGGTAATGTCTCGTAAAAAATTCAAGTTACTGGCATCATAAATTACCTTTCCTCCTAAAGAGTTGTGATACAACTCTCCTTGTTTATGATGATTGGTTTTGTAGCTAGTTTGATGGTAGAAGTGATATTAATGAAGTACATTGAATAACCCAACCAGGAATTGGTCCAATTATAAATAACTCCATGCTGTGCTGAAAGTTGAGTGATGGGTGCCCATATTTGAATAAAAAGATTGGGTAAGGCAATGGAATCTTGAATCTTGTGGATGGTTTAGATTTAGACAGTCGAAGTTCTTCCCATACAGTAGTTTTGAAATACTTCTAACCTGTGATTGAGACTGTCAATGGCCCTTGCATTGAGATAGTCATTTCATGTCTAATCTGTTGTGCTCTGGTATTTTCAGGTTTCCTTGGAGCATTGCCCAAATGAGGTATTTTTTCATGTTTCAGCAGCCAGATGCTGGGAAATGGTGAGAGAGAGAGTGAATCAGGAGATCACAAAGCAGCATAAATCTGGAAGAATGAATCTTCCTCCCTTACAACCTCCTGGAAGTCTTGATGGCTTTGAAATGTTTGGGTTTTCTTCACCAGCAATTGTGCAGGTAAATTTCCAGTGTGCTGATTTCCCCAGTTTATTGGTTTTTTGTTTAAATAATAGCAGGGCAAAACTATCTCTTTGCCCCATGTGTTTGTGGCAAATGGTCTTCTTATCTGTGTTTCAAATTTAGCTGGCTGGTGCCAAAATCTGACAAAATGTTGGTGTTACTTAATAGACTAGGTTTGAAACACAAGGGTAAGAGGACTGTTTTTGCCTAATAAAAGCCATGTAAGGTTGGTACTTTATAACATGTACACATCGTGTACATGCTTCCGTGTTTAATTTTCAAAAAAAAAAAGAAAAAGAAAGAAACTTGTAAGCTTCGTTAATACACACAACAGATGTACCTGAAATTCATGGGTTTTTTTTTAATATATATATATATATATCATCCAAGTCAAAAAAAATGTCTCCTCATGGCAAGAGTTCGAGAAGCTTTCCAGAGGCACCGACAAACCTATTATATTCAATCATGTTGTGTCGAACCTGGCCTAAGTTGCTTTGTCTTTGGAACGGTGAAAAAACCCTGTTCATGTTTTAATATACATGGTTCCTCACTGCTTACAATTCTGAATTTTGATTTTGTTTTTCCCAGCTTTATTTGTGCCAAATGCTTTTTACATTGAATATAATTCAGCTTCCTGCCTTTTTCCTATAAACAGGCCATAGAAGCATTAGACAGGAATCGAGTTTGTACAGATTACTGGGACTCCAGGCCATATTCACGGCCACAAGGACAGATTCCGCAACATTCTAAATCCATTGTCAATGCAGGGCAGTCCCAGGGAACACATGAGGACCAGAATATTAGTAAAGCCCCCGGGAGCCAGTTATTACCAGTTGAAGCTCATACGATACTTAGAGGTCTATTCAAGAAGGCAAGCCCAGAAGAATTGATCGCACTGAGTGGTATTTTAAGTGGCAATATGCCAACAGCTAATCCTGGTCTAATAGCACAGCTTCTTAATGAAGAGATTTGCCATCGTCCTAGATGATTCATTAATTTGGTCTCATGAGGATTGAGACTGAATTCCATCGCAATTTTTTGACACTGTAAATTCCGAGTTCTTGGCTCCTATGTTTCCCATACGTCTTCATTCAAGTCGTCCATTCTTTTAGGAAGAGGAAAAGAAATGAACTAACAGAAAAAAGGAAATATATCCTGCATAATTCTTCTTTGTAGGGTTATTTGTAGAAGAGAATCTGGGAATTTGCTAGTGGACACTCCCATGTTATATGGCGTCCACAAGTGGGGGAAGCTTTCCATCTCTAGAATTCGTTTTCTTGGTTCCTAACACAGATTCTTTTAGTGTACTGCTCGTGGAGCTTTTGACAAGTATAAATCAATCATTCTTGCTGTCTGAAAAGGTGGAACACTTGCAGATTCATGGTGGTTGTACTTTTTATGTGTTGACTCGTTCTTGAGGCTGACATAGCTTTCATGTTAGAGGTGAAGTATATTTACAAGGGTGCTCACGTAACTTTGAATTAAAAACCTGTTGGCCCTAATACTAGGAGAAATAGAGTGCCGATGGCTAGGTACTTTGGCTCGATGATCGGCTTGGATTTACGTCCGGTGTACTGGTAAGTAAGATTTAGCATGGATGGTTTTCTGGGCAAATGTTATCGATGCAAAGACTGGGTGACCTGACATGGTTGGTTCCAATCATAGAGGACTCGTAGCAGTGCAAGACTCTTAGATATTCTATTGCTGTTAAATATAAATTCAAAAGGAGAGATGTTATTTCAATATATATAAGAAAAACTATTAATGATCCAATGGAAAGATGTGGAAGTTTTAACAATCTAATTACTCATAGTAATTTTCTCATCCTCTATTTTTACCCTTTTTACTGTGAAATAGCATTATTAATAATAAAAATAAATGATCCCACAATCATTATTAAAAATAAATGATTCTTTTGCCCTTCAAGGTTTTGTAGCTCGTAATGTTAGATGGAGAATGGCAAATACTCTGTACCTTTCCAGATGTAATTATGCTTAGTTTGGCTGATAAATACATACCTTTTATGCTATATTCAAATTTTAAAAAGATGATAATAAAATATTTTTTATGAATTTACTAATAAAAACTTTGAGTCTACTTAAATTCTATTGGCAAAAACTACATCCTCCTGCCACTCAAGATTATACCACAGGAAAGTAATTATTGGTAAATTTCTAATTTCAAAGTGGAGGGCTTATTTTTCGTAATTTGATTAAATATATACCACTATTATTTTAATATCAACGTGAGTATATGCAGCCTTAAATGCTCAGAAGATGGTTTAATCGCGGAGGGCCTACACCCTACTATTGAATCTTGACAAGGGATTCTCAAGATGAGCATATATAATAAATCTAAATGTATATTTATGCAGGGAGGAACTAGAAATTGTAGTTTGGAGTCAAGATATATTGATACCAGTAAAAATAAAATAAAATAAAATTTCATTTTAATAAGCTCAATAATTATAACAAAATAAAATTCTTATTTTTTTATATGTACTATTCTATAACACTTCAATAAATACTAAAAGTTAAAAATGTTTAATATAAACATAAAAATAAAAGAAATAAATAAGAAAAAAAACTATAAACTAAGTATTAATCTATCAATATAATGATAAGCTTTTGACATTTCAAAAGATTTTATTGTTCCACGCAACTTAGAAAAAATTATTAATTTTTAAAATTTTGGATGTTTTGGTATATCAAACTGATAATATTACAATTAAAATTTCTAATGAAGTTTCTATTATTTATTAAAATCTTTAGAATAAAATTTTCAATGAAATTACATGCATAATAGATATTGAATGAGTTATGAGAATTTTGAGGATATAATGTTGAACTTAAAATAAAAAACTCAATTATTTAATAATAAAATTTAATATTTAACTCTTGTAATTAAAAATTAATTGCAACTAAAAATATATCAACTCCAAAAATATGTTCTAAAGTTACAAGAATTTCACTTTAATGACAATACTTGCCACAAGCTCTTGTATAATGTCCTTTCAAATCAAGAATATCAATATCATTTTGTATACAAAATTCTTTGACAATCTAAAGTAAATATTCCAATTCATTATCCTGTAACTTTTGAATCAATGAATTTTCGGTGAAAACTAAACTCATGACATTGATAAAGTCTTGATCTTGATATTAGAAGTTAAATTTGAGAAAAATGATGGACAAGTTTTACTTCTTCAGATAGCAACAAGAACTAATTATAACCTATAAGTTAGGCAATGTACATAATAAGCAGAAGACAATATTTAAGAAACAAAGTTTGAATTCTATTCCACTTATCTTGTATATTTGCTTGCACAATCATATCATTGACCTCAAACTCAAATATATTCAAGAAAATCATAAGGAGACAGAACATTGCACACCTCTTGTTTTAGAGTTATTGTCGTGCTATCTTACAACATGGAAAAAACGCTCTGAGTGAAACTATATTTGTCAACAAATCATAAGACAATTACCATTTGTTTCTTTTTTTGCTTCATCTCTAGCTTAATCAATAATGATACAGAACTTTGAATTATCAATCACTTCATGAGTCACTCTTCTTACTGTTCTAATAAATATACTTAAGATTTCCCTTTTAATTTTATAAGAAGTATATTTAGCATTTTCACGGAAATGTTTTCTAGAACAAGCCTACCAAGTTTCATACAAATTATTGTTTTCTTTTTTGTTAAGTAGTTCGTTTTTGTCTGTTAAAGCTACATCAAATCACAAGGATTTTTTGACATTATTTCCATTGCAAAAACCCTAAATTAATCTATAAATTAAACCAATTAAACTCTAATTAAAAAAACAATTAAACTCTAATTAAAAAACCCCAGATTATACCCATAAATCTCAAAAACCCTAAATGCATTAATTGGGTAAGAAAAGTTATCGGGTTTGAGTGAGCGGCGAGGAGGCTGCTGTCGGTGCGGTGGTTGAATAGGTGGCTGTCGGAGTTGAGGGAAGAAGAAGAAGATGAAGAAAATGTAGAAAAAACAGGGTTTGGGCCTCCGGGGTATGATGAGAAGTTGAAGGACAATGAAGAAGAAGGAGGGCTGACACAGTGCTTAGAAAATCGAAAGAGAAGTGCCCAGTTAAGAAAAAGTGCACTGGTTTGTTGACTTGTTATTTATAAAAAAGAAAAAAAGTATATTAAGTGTCAAGTAGAAACCGTTTATATATATTATTCCAAGAGCTGTGGTGCCATGGCGCCTAGAACGTTAGCTGTAGGGATGTGTTTTGCTCTAATAACATATTTAATTATGTTAGGTTAATAACATAATTGTATGCCTTTGCATTTATCTTATTGAAAACCTATCTTGTGTCTTAGTTAAGAAAATGTTAGAATTTATAGCTTTTTTTAATAAGTTACAATAATATCCAACAGGCACTAAGATTTTATTTGCTTGTGGTCTGCGTTTTGCTCACAAACCATAAATTTTAAAGTGTTTGGTCAATTAACACGTGGTAGTTTTACATGAGTTTTATTAAAATTTCTTGTTTAAAATTTTATTTAAAGTACAATATAATTTATATATTTTTTAAAACTTATATTTTCAAACCATGATACATTATCAAAAACATATTAAATTCAAAGAAACAAACGTTTTCACAAAAACAAAACTTATTTGAATACATTATTGGGTGTTGTTTTTAACCGATCTATTATACACATAGAAAATAATAAATTTTTTTTTAGTGAACACTAGGCATGAGCCTATGCTATTCTACTAGTATGTATTTTGTTCTTTGGCAACAAAATAATAATTAGATAACAAAATAATACTTAGATAGTGCAAACTTGGTTTAAAAATAGGAGCAATTAGTGATTTAAAATTAAAAAACATAACACAATATAAATTTGGTTTGAAAGGTGAGATTAAAAACCAAAAAGAGTTAAGATAAAAAGAAGTTCAAAGAATAAGGACCCAATAAAAAAAATATATGAAAAATTAAATTTGAAGTACTAAATCAAAAAGAAATAACAAGGATGAAAAAAAATTAAAAGAAAAAAGACACAATTTTTTATTTGGAAAGTTAAACTCAAGAGAAATATAACTCAAAAAAATAAATTAAGGATCAAATTGAAAAAAATATCACAAAATAAACTTGGATTGAAGGTAAGATTGAAAATTAAAACTTATATAAAAGGGTAAAGTAAAAAAAAATTCAAAAAAAAATTCAAATTAAAAAATATAATTTATTAGAAATTAGAATCAAAAGATTAAATTGAAAGGAAACAAAACTCTTATTAAGGAATCAAAAGATTAAATTGAAAGGAAATAAAACTCTTATTAAATAATTAAGGATAAAAATAAGAAATAAAAAAAAGGGACCAAATCACAAATACCAAAAAACAAAGAAGACTAATTAATAATTTTAAAGGGGAGAGAAAGAAAAAACAATATATACACTAGCAGCAAACCACTCACAGTTAATGACACGTGTCACATCAAATGAAAAAAAAAAGGTTTCAATGCATTTAACTACGTGATTGATGACAATATTTAACCATATAAAGACGTTGCAGACACCACCTAAAATAAGCGGGCACCTTCCATGTTATGGTGAGTATAATGCACACGTCAACAATATTTTGAAATCTAATATTATTTTATTCTAGTAAAATACAATGATATCCTTAATAAAATATAAAAATAACAAAATAATCAATATAAAAAAACATAAATATCCCTCGACTAAAAACTTTAATTGTTTTGATTTAAAGAACATTCTAGTTATCTAAGCTCAACCTAAAATAGAAAAAACCAACAATACTCCTGGATTAAAGTCATATAAAATGACAATGTAATATTATATAATTTTATTTTATTTGTACTCAAATTAAAATTTAATATTTTATAATTTTATTTTATTTTTAATCAAATGACAATTTAATATTTTAACTGTTTATATAAAACAAAAGGAACCTAATAACCTTTAAAGAAAAGCCATTTGTTATTTGAACGAGGAAAAAATTAATAATTTTATTGTTGTAATTGACAATAAAATGTCTTTAGAATTACAATAAAAACACCATTAAAACCCCTTTTTGATTTTAGTGTATTTTTAAATATCCATTGTTGTTGCTGGGGTATAAACTATACACTGTTTTTTTTTTACTATTAAAATATTTTTTACTATGTTTTATTTTATTTAACTCTAGGCCAAGAATTTTCACCCATTTCTTAATTTTCTAAATTCAAATATTAATATAATCAACAATTAAATTTTTTTATTAAATTTATTTTAAAATAGCAGATGATGCAAGAGATTATTTTTTTTTAATATTGGAAAAAAAGAATGGTTCCTAATTGACAAGTAATTTCCTTTAAAAATACAT